TGGCATGTGCAGGAGGCAACCAATCCATATGTCTCTCTCACATTAATGTTTCTCTCTCTGTGTCTCTCCCCCTCTCTTCCACTCTCTCTAAAAATCAATAGGAAAATATCCTCAGGTGAGGATTAACAACAACAACAAAATTTACCAGATATTTATTCAGTGGAATTGACACTACAGAAGATAAGATCAGTAAACTTGGAAGACAGCCATCAAAGGTATCCAAACTGAAGCAAGAGATAAAAAATCTGAGCCTCAGTGACTCATAGACTATAGACTTGTGAGACTATATTAAGCAGTTAAATATATGAGTATTTGATGTCTTAGAAGGGAGGGGGTAGAAAAAATATTTGAAGAAATAATGGCCAACAATTTTCTAAATTAATGTAAAGGATAAATCCACATATTCAAGAATCTCAAATGAACCCACACAGGCTAAACACAAAGAAAATCACACCAAGGCAAATAAAAGCCCAATTAATAAAAATAAGTGATAAAAATAATTTTTAACAGCCAGAGGGGGGAAATAGACACATTACATACCATGGTGGCGGGGGGTGGGGGGAGGGTGGAGAAACACAAATGAATAGTCACAGCCTTTTAATAGAAACAATGTGAGCGAAAAAACAATGCAACAATATCAATATCCTTAAAGTTCCAAGAGAAAATACTGTCAACTTATACTTCTGTACCAAGGAAATATCACTTTCAAAAACAAAGACAAAAATTAAGACTTTTTCCCTCCAGAAAAACAAAATGAAGAGCACCTATTGCTAGCAAATCCACACTATAAGCAATGTTAAAGGCACTTCTTCAGTACTTAATCCAACTATATCAAAACATGTACACACACTAAATGGACTAATAAAATCAGAGATTGACAGTTTGCTTAAAAAAGTAAAGTGCAGCCCCGGCCAGCTGCCTCAATTAGTTGGAGCATCGTCCCATACAACAAAAGGTTGCAGGTTTGATTTCTGGTCAGGGCACAAACCTAGGTTGCAGGTTAGATCCCCAGTCAGGGTGCATGAAGGAGCCAATTTATCAATATCTCTCTCTCTCTCTCTCTCTCTCTCTCTCTCTATCAATATCTCTCTCTCTCTCTCTCAAAATCAATAAACATATCCTCAGGTAAAGGTTAAAAAATTAAAATGCATTTATATTTTATTTATAAAGATAAGTTAAAAGTTAAGGGATAGAAAAAGGTATAACATGTAAACTCATAATAAAACATCTGGTTTAGCTATATAAATTTCAAAGTACAATCAAATAAAAAAGTGTTACTATAAATAAACAGGAATATTTAATAATGCTAAAAGTGTCAATAAACTCAGAAGACCTGACAGTCCTGTGTGTATGTTCACTTAATGACAAAGCTTCAAAAACACATGAAGCAAAAACTAACAGCATTAAATTTATAGACAAACTCACAATTACAGGTGATTTTAACACTTCTTTCTCAGTAATTGACAGAACAAATTTAAAAATGAGTAATAAACTAGATTTTGGGCAACATTATAAAACATTATATCCCAAAACTGCAGAATACACATTCTTTTCCATTTCACTTGGCACATTCACCAAAATAGACCATACACCAAATCTCAATAAATGTCAAAGGACTATTATTATACAGAATTTGTTCTATATCCAAAACAGAATTAAATCAATAACAGAAGGATATCTGAAAAAAAATTCTCAAGTATTTAGAAATCAACAACAAATTCCTAAATAATCCATGCATCAAAAAAGAAACCACAGAGCCCTAACCGGTTTGGCTCCGTGGATAGAGTGTTGGCTTGTGGACTGAAGGGGCCCAGGCTCGCTTCCGGTCAAGGGCATGTACCTTGGTTGTGGGCACATCCCCAGTAGGGTGTGTGCAAGAGGCAGCTGATCGATGTTTCTATCTCATCGCTGTTTCTAACTCTTTATCCCTCTCCCTTCCTCTCTGTAAAAAATCAATAAAATATATTTTTAAAAAAAGAAATCACAGAGAAAATTTCAAAATATTTTTAACTAATCCTATATTATAAAATGGTATTATGCAAATTGACCGAACAGTGGACTTCCTGGTCACTATGATGTGCACTGACCACCAGGAGGCAGACTGCTAAAGGGTTTAGGCTGGGCTGGGGGGACCCACCCCTCCTTGGTGCATGAATGTCATCACTGGGCCTCTAGTTAATAATAAAAACACATCTCAAATTTTGTGGGATATAGCTAGAGCAGTATTTTAAGGTAAATTTAGCTTTAAATTCTTGTATTAGAAGGAATAAAGGTTTAAAATAAATGATCTATGTTTCTACCATAGAAGCTAGAAGAAGAAAAGCAAATTAATCTCAATACAGAAGAAAGAAAATAATAAAAAATAGTAGAGAAGTCAATGAACTTTTTAAAATCAGTAAAGGAAATCAATAAAGGTAAAAGATGGTTTTTTGAAAAATTAATAACTCCTAGCTAGACTGATTGAGGAAAAAAATAAGGAATCATGAATTCCCAGTAATAAACTTGGCATAATGCTAGACAGGACTGTAACTTCTGCACATAGTCTCAAGCCCCCTCCCCAAAACCACCCCTCCTGCCTAGTCACCCCCTCCCTGCCCGAGGAACCTTAGACCTCTCCACAATCTAGCAACTGAAGGGTTGAAGCCTTATACAATAAGGACCCTATCAGACCCCTGCACTGTTCAAAGAACCTGTGGCCTTGTTCCTTGAGGCCTCAATGTTTGCTCATTATTTGGACCATCACTACGGAGTCTACAAGACCACTAAGTCAGGAGCTGACATTTTAGAGGACCTCATGTGTTATCACACCCTAAGTTCTGATTCAGAAAGGAATCTTCCCAGAGTTGTCGAGAGGGCTAGTTGTAGATTTTTGAATTGTTCTTCTTTTAGTTAAATAAACACCATACTTTCTTTTAGGAATAAAAACCTCCAAAATTAATGACAGTCTATGGTGCTAGAATGGCATATTATCCAAAAGTCATCTAAAATAGGCAGTGAAGGAAAACATATTATACAGTTCTGATAAGCAACATCTAAACTGGGAAAACAGTGATCTTAGATAAGCTTACTTTTTTTCTGTGTTTTGTCTTTATTTCTAGAGCCAACAAACAAGAATTACAACAAAGTACCTCCTACTTAAAATAGACTTTACTAAGAAGCAGAAATTCAATTTTTACAAAAAAAAATCATCTCAACAGTAATTCCTACTTTTTTAAATATCCAATTTTTAAAAATTATCCATTTAGCAAATGGGGTAAGAGCACAGGCTCTGAAGCCAGACTTCTTCAGTTAGCATCCCAGCTCCACCACTTATTAGCTATGTGTCCATAGGCAAGTTACTTAATCTCTGTCTGCTTCCCTTTCCTATCTGTAAGGGAGGAAGGGGGTTGATAAAGAATCCATTATGGTGATTTAAAAAGCAAATATTTATAAAGTGTTTATAATAGTGCCTGCCCACATAAATGCTATTTGTGTCGGTTAAATATATAAGTAATAACTAATACTTCAGAGCACGTTTACTATTCTCACCAATCTTTGATAAAGGTAAAATTTTCAAATCTGATGTTCAAACAAAAAGTTTAAATAGAAATCTAAGTTTTAAGGCTTGTTATCCAAATTTGGCATAAATCTCCTTCCCACCCAATTTTCACCATACCCCTCCCCATGCTATTCCTTCTCCACCAAGTCATCCACATGTGGACCTGTGTGCCGTATGGTGACTGATGGTTAAGTCTTCTCTCATCAGCCGAAGAACAAGAAAAGCAAGACTGAGGCCTCTGCTCTGAAACTCTAAGGTAATAAAGTTAATGAGGACCTAGAGCAAAGACAAGGTGAGCAGACCGCCTTTCCTTCAGGGAATTCCAGAGCACAAAGGCCTGTGATGAGGGCT